AAGAAATCGGAACAGTATTTCCGTGATAAAATCGAAATTTTTATCCGTCTCTTCAATAAACACTTTGCTCGCCATTTTGAAAGTCACTGACACGAGAAGTGACGTCATACTGGCAGGCGGACTGTACGACAGATTTACTTGGAGACACCTCCCCCCCCCCCCCGGCTTGTATTTTTTCATTTTTTTGTAATAATTGTTTTTTTTTTAAAAATTTATAAATTGTTTAACAAAAGAATTTTGGTTGCCCTCTAACTAAAAAATATGGGGTCCAAAAAAACAAAATCTGCTTTTTTAGAAGGTTGCAAAGTTTTTTATAAACAANCCCTGCTTGTACTTTATATATTTTCTGGAATAATTATTTCTTATATAAAAAGTGATACATTGTTTAACTAAAGATCATTTGATTCCCTCTGACTAAAAACTACTGTGTTCAAAAAGGCAGATGTTGAATTTTTGTAAGGTTGCCAATTCATTTATCAAGAGAACCTTCTACAGTTTTTTTTTTTTTTCAAGTTTTGATAAAAATCAGTTAGCGAATATCCATTGATACCGCTGGAACAAGCGCCTCAAAATTAGCAAACTTATCAAGTGTAAAGGTAAAACGTTAAAAGCGGGCGAAGTTATTGCACCACAAAGCGGTAAACACTGCACGAAAAATTGGATTTACACAAATTTACTCGGTGCAAATATGATGCAAAAAACTGCAAACTAGGAGTAAATCAAAAGCAAAGATGGTAAATACCGCATTTGCTTGCCTGTTTACATGGGGTTGTAAATTTGAGAGCAAATGCGGTATTTACCATCTTTGCCTTATATTTAACCTAAGTTTGCACTTTTTTGCACCAAATTTGCACTGAGTAAATTTAATGTAAATCAAATTTTTCGTGCAGTGAAAATTGTGGTGCACGAACTTGCCCCACCATACAAACCGCTATAGAATTAGGCGAGTTTGCTGACATCTTCGTCCGTTTTCAAAAAATCCCGTTCAAACCTTGCATCTTTACTAATTGCAAATTGTTCTTTTTAGCAGTCTTGACGGATTTTCGCTAGCTGGTGGCAGTCAAAAGTTTCAAAAACCGTGGAAGGGTCTATTCAGTTGATAAAACCAAATTTTGCATTACACTCAAAGAGCATATAGAACATCTTACATCAAGAGGAAGCACCTTGGAAAGCAAGAAAAATTTATTTTGTTAAGCATGGGCTTACATTGTGAGGCAAAGCAGCTTTCCTGAATTTAAGATTAATGGCAACCCTAGAAAACTAGAATGTATAGGTTAAATCTGTGCTTTCGAATAATTGCTCGCGCAAAATACAAGGCATTTTGGACACAAAATTAGCAAGGAGGATCATATTGTAACGTTAATAACGTTATTGATAAACTGATTACACGCTTGAAGACCGATACTTCCAAGTTCAAATTATTTACAAGTAAGTAATAATAAAAAAAGAAACTAAAAAGTCAATGCTTTTTTGAAGTAACGGCAGTTTAACCTTCAACATTATCTTCTGCCAACGTTACTATAGCCTGCGTAGTTAGCGGTACTGTCTCGGTGCGCGATTAAAGTTTTGGCGGAGAAGCCATAACCCTAAAAAGGGAGTGGGGACGAGGCGTTTGAAATGCCTATTTCTCGCGGCTTACGCCGCTCTTGACGGCTTCGCCACCAAATCTCACTCGACTATTACACAATACCGCCAGCTATGCGGGATGACTTTAAGATAACCATGTGGCTCCCATTAATAACATTATGGATTGTTTTTGTTCCAGTGATGACATCAAACATTAAATTTCATCACCATCATTATAATAAAAACCAAACCATTTTACTAATTTTCTCAAGACTTTTAAATTTCACATTCAGCATTTTACATACTTGATATGACTTAATTTTTATTTAACCTTTTTTAATAGGCTTCATAGTCAATTTGGTCAAGATAGGATTTAATGGTATTAGGTATTTGGCATAAGATTTAATGGAGCCGAAACTCATAATGGAAATGAAGACATTTTTGCCATCTTACTGATGAAGAGTTACGACTTAGGCTATATTCACTCTATACCGGGTAGGTTTTACACCGGCACGAAAACGATGGGTGAGAGCAGCGTCCGAAAACGTTTTATGCAGACACTGTATATTGCCAATCTACAACCATTTAAGAACGTTAACAGTAGCGCAACTTCCTAGCTGTTTTGGCATGAGCGCAAAACTCAAAAATTGGGGAAAAGTTTACGGCTATGATCCAAAGACAAATAGCCAAATTACTGACATATGATGAACGGGACAAATGCAGTGATGCCGGCAAAATATAATCGCTCAATGTATGTCATCTGCTTTTTGAGGAGTATATGCGAGGAAAAACTTCGGCTTTCGTGTGACAGAAAAAGTTATTCAGATCCCGAGGCTGCTATAGATCGGTCAAATCGAAACTTCAACATCCTTCTCCCCGAGCATACCCCTAGTCTGCTACACAGCCCTCTTTAGTGTCTTCACGCAACGCTCCTCCCCACTAACGGTAGCCTGTGAACAGGCTCTCTGTTTTGGGGGAAAAAATAGCAAGGAAAGGGAAGGGAAAGGGGGGCGGGGAGAGAGCCTGTAGACTAACATTTGAGGCAACTACCCCGCCCTCATGTAATTATCTTGCCAAACATCTGTCAGTAAGATCGTTATCTGTCAATCAATTTCGCGCGTGAGTAACTCCTGGGGAAAACTAACAGGAAATGAGTCGTGTTTTGCTCAAAACAAAGTGGAATGGACCGCGAGCCTCATTGTCGATTTTGCAAAAAACTCTTTGATCTCCCGTAAGACAATTAACACGGTGCCGGTCTTGGCGTTTCAAGAAATAAGACCTTGCTGGTTGACAGTGGCCAAGACAGCGTTGTACTAGCGCAAGCATTTAAATCCTCAAGATTTCCTCTTGAGCAAGGAGAAAGCTTTTCCGATTTAAGCTGCTTAACTTGTGCGCGACAGGC